CTTTGGGAATTAAGAAAAGCCCTCAACCAGTAGAAATCTTTTTCCAGTTCTAGAAAAAAGGAAACCTCTTCTAAAAATGATTCTCCCAGCAAGTTCATATTTTTATGAATTCTGCATGAAATCATATTGATATTAATACATTTATTAATCACTATTTTGTTAATAGCTCAGTTGAATTTCTTTGCAAAAAAGAACCTTTTTGTTCCAGCTCATCTATAATCAGATTGATAAAATACGCTCATGGATACACTCAGATATTTGGGTAGTTGTATATAATTTGGAAATCCAAAGGTTGTATAAAACATACCTAATAATGAACTATTTTGATCCTATCTTGACCCTTTAGAACTTAGGTCTCAGGAAGTTATTATCTATGATGATGTGGACATAAGTGAAAAAGAGTCAAAGTAAGTCAATTTACCACACTGGTCATCCCTGCTGCCACCTGACCCATTTCCTGATGCTTTCTTAAATACGTTCAGAGAACCACCTCTCCAGATCCATGGGGACCAGAGAAAGAATAATAGTCCCTGCACAACTAAAGAAAAATGATGAAAAGCAGGTAATCCAACAGTGGTAGTGACCCAAGAGGCAGAGGAGCTCTGGAATTTATTTTTATTTCTTATCTTTGAATCTGGAGGCTTGCCACATTTATTTAATAACCTATGTAGATGGTAGCATGCAGAATAGCAAAGAAAATTTGACAAGAATTAAATAACTGTAATCTATAAAGAAAGAAGGGAAAGAAACCATCCTAACTCGGTGTCTCCTCTCTAGTTAACTTGTTACCTGTCTTTTCCTTCAACCCAATGGCTGGAAATGGAGGTCGTCTCTGATTTTCTTCAATTCATCTTTCCCTGCTCACTGAAATTAGACTTCTGCCTCTATCATACCAGTGAACTTACATTTTGTAAGATCACTAGTAACTCCTTTGTTAAATCCCAGGAATACTTTTAAATCATTATCTTACTTAGCTTCTCAATATTCTTAAACTGTTGATTATACCATCCACGAAAGGGGGGGAAATACTAACTTTTCCTTGATTTCCATGTTATCGTTATTTTTCTTCTTTGCCTGCTTCTAATAAGTGTATGTGTGTGTGTGAGAGAGAGAGAGAGAGAAATCATGCTTGAAAAAAATCTATTTCAGTGCAATTTATAAAAAGATGATGTTTCAAACAAGCTAAATGCCCAAATATACAGTAATCTGCTGAGTGTATTAAAATATTCAACATGGCTACTTAATATGCTAATGTATGGTGAATAGTTTCCA